ACACGATCCAAGAGGGCCCCAAAACAGCTCAGGAGGCCCCCAAGATCGCCCAAGAGGACCCCAAGACGGCCCCACGAGGGGCCCAACACGAACCGACTATTCGAGCCTTCCGCCCCAAGAGAGCCCAAGACCGGAGGCCCCACGATGCCCCCAAGAGGCCCAAAAAGAGGCCACAAGAGGCCCCCAACCAGCCCCCAAAAGGCGTCAGAACTGCCTCCAAGAGACCCCCGAGATGACTCTCACAGCATCCAAACGAACACCCAAGAGGCCTCTAACCCACAACCCAGGCAAGGTGGCGGGTCCTCAGTGGTGCAAGCGGCGCACGTCATAACACCAGGTCTGAAGCACTCTTGCGGAGGAAACAGATGAGCACTGAGGGCGTTGGGGAGGAGGGAAATACGAGGGGCATTTGTTTCGAAGAGCACAGCTTGGGAGCAGTAGGGGGAAACCTGAGGGGACGATCGGCGGATAAGCGTCAAGCCCCGCACGAAAGCGGCGCCAACGAGTGCCTCGAGCCTCGAGCGAGTGCGACAAACTGGCGAGGAAGAGTACGAGGAGGAGCAGGAGCCTGGGCACGAGCGAGGGGAGGAGGAGGCAGAGGATGACTGGATCGGCGGTGCCCCGATGATCTCCCCAGTTGGCACGTCGCACCACGCCACCGGCGCTTCGCAAGCATTGCTGCTGCAAGCAACCGCAGCCCCTCTTCTGCACATTCCCTCCCGCCCTTTTCTCTTCCTCCTCCCCCCCCCTCCTCCTCCTCCTCCTCCTCCTCCTCCTCCTCCTCCTCCTCCTCCTCCTCCTCCTCCTCCTCCTCCTCCTCATCAGCATCATGCTCTTCCCCCAATCTCCTCCCCCTCCTCCTCCCCCCACCACCCGCCCTGGCTCCCGCCCTCTCCCGCTCCACGCTCCCCACGTCGCCTCCGCCCTCCCATCCACGGGGTCTTGTCGACAGAGAGGCAGGCGGCCGCCACCTCGGGCCGTTCGGCCAAGTCGCGGCTGCCGCTGGCATCGTCCAGGTACGGCTCTGTCCTTCAACGACTGGACGGACGGGGGGCGGCAAGGCGGGAATGGAGTGCGGTGGGAGGGAGGGCACAGAGGAGGGTAACAAGGCCAGGGAGACAAAGAGGAGGAGGAGGAGGAGGAGGAGGAGAAGGAGGAGGAGGAGGAGGGCACAGGCGGGGTGTGACGAGAATGGAGAGGGGAAGTAGGGGGGAGCATGGAAAGGGAAAAATAGGAAGGGCACGGGGGGAATGATGAGAGGCAGGGAGGAGGGACGTGGAGGAAGCGAGGATGGGGACACGAGGATGGGAGACGTCGGAAGGATGAGCGAATACACGGGGGAACGGCCGAGGCGGGGGAGGTGACGGAGAGCGGCCGGGCAGCGGAGGAGGATGCGAACGTGGTCACGGACGCGTAAGGGAAGGGCTGGGACAAAGGGCGAGGGAGCCGAAGACGACCGAAATCGCACTCGACACCGGCAGCCCGCCACGGGCGGAGGCGACCTTCAAGACTCGGCGCCGTCGCTGGAGTCGGTTCTGTGGCCCGCGGCCTGCGGGCCCGTGGTCCGTCGTGGCCCCCGCGCGCCGGGCGGGCCGCAAGGGTCGGGCCGACTGCTCGTGGCCCGAGGCCCTGCGGCCCCACCCGTGCAGGGGGCCACGGCGGGGACATGCCGTGGCCTTCGCCCCCTCGCGACGGTGGCGGGCGAGCGTGGACCTGGACGCAGCCATGGCTGGACGCCCACGCCTCCTCCTCCTGCTCCTCCTCCTCCTCCTCCTCCTCCTCCTCCTCCTCCTCCTCCGCCTCCTCCTCATCTTCCTCCTCCTCATCTTCCTCCTCCCCCCCCTCCTCCTCCTCCCTCCTCCTCCTCCTCCTCCCTCCTCCCGCCTCCCCTCCCTCCTCCCCGTCCTCCTTCTCCTCCTCCTCCTCCTCCTCCTCCTCCTCCTCCAGCTGGCCCTCGCGTGCGGGGCGGGACCCTGCATTTCATCAGGCTGCCCGTGGCCGTCTCATGGCCACTGGACGCTTCCCGAAGCCAAGCGAACAGAACGGCCGCTGACGTGCGCATCACGAGGGCCCGAGGGATTTACCTCGGCTTTGGTGCACGCTCTAGGGTTGCATTCTTGGTGGGTATTAGGAACCCAGGATCGCTGAATTCATAACAAAAGTCAACAAAGTGTCTTTGTGGTGTTCTGGAAACACGCTCTACAAAAACAATTTATTTCATTTAAATAATGTTTTTGTAACTTCGGCGATCTGCGCACATACCAATAGTGTATCTTGCACATAAACCATATTGCTGACATTACGCAACGCCGAGGTGATGCCAGGGTTGCACGAACCGCCACGAACGTTCCTCGAAGCGCACCGAAACGCTGCCGAAGCGGCATAGAAACGTACCATGATCACCCCGCGAGGCCCATGAGACGCCCCGAAGACACCCGCGCGGCTCGAGCGGCCCCGAAGCGGCCCCGAGACCCACCCAGACATCTCCGATTCGGTTCAACCGACCATCGTCGGGGAATCTGGGAAGCAACAGCCGCGCCCCGAAAAACTCCGATGCCCCGACGGACCCAGATGGGAACCCAGTGGAGCCCAGAGCGGCCCCCAGGACCTCTTCCCCTCCCACCAACTTCCGTTGGGGACAGACAGAAACGGGCTCTTACAAACCGCAGCGGCGCCATACAAAAAAACATATGATATCCCAGAATCCCGCGGCCCCCCCCCGCCGTGCTCATTGAGAACAAGCATTTCCGTGACGCACAGGCCCAGGACATGGAGGTTCCCCGCGCGGTCCCAGGAGTTGGTCGCGCAACTGCCCTCGGGAAACAAAGAACCAGAACGGCCAGAGAATGCCCCGCGAGGCCCCCGAAACAGCCCGCGAGGGCGCCGATGCGGGCTGCGAGCGCCCCCAATACCACCCAACGCGCCTTCCACGTGGCCCAGTTAAACAACGCATCCGCCCCAAAGCGCCTCAATGTGGCCCGCGAGGGACCTCCCCAAACCTAAAAACATTCGTTCCAGAGGCGCCTTCGACATATTGTACCGACATCGCCGAAACTTGCCTCCGACTGCCCAAGTCGGCCCCGAGCCACCCCCGCCATCTCGTCTCGAGACACCCCAGAGGGCCCTGCAATGACCCAAGGGCTTTCACATGGGGGCTCCGTGATTGCCCTGGACCCCCACCCCCCCGCGCCCCCTGCGGCTCTAAAAGGGCCCAACTGCGCCCAGATGGAGACGGCGGGAGGGGCCCGAGGATGTCATCGGAGCCCACCCTGCCGAAATGCATTGCCCTCAGGCCCCAGCGGGCACCGACGAACCTCAAGATGCCTCCGACGCGCACCCCGCTGGAAAACCTCAGGGCTCAGGGGGGTCGCAGAACGCTGCGGAGTGCGAGGGCAGACGTCGATGCAACCGAGGGCGCGCCTTGAAACGCCTAACTTTTCCCATGATGATAACCAGGATCGAGAGCGAAGTGTGCCAAATGCCATTATATAGCATGGAGGGGAAGGCAAGGGCGACACAGTTCGGGATATCGTTGAAGACCCGCGCAAGATCGGACAGGGCACCACCTCCTGGAGCATTTGAGCTTGCACCTCAACGCTGATGCGACGCGCGGGTAGGGAGGCGGGGCATGCCGCAGGCATCGGGATATCAACCAACAGGCGAGCGACGACCGCTGCGGCACGTTGCAACTACCCCCCCCCCGCACGTAGCCTCTGCGGCGGCTGCCGCGCGACAAGGCGACGACAACGACGGGGGGGGCAAGGCAGAGAGCGACGGCCATGGGGGGGGCGAACACGAGGGCGAGGACGGCAATGAATCCAAGCGTGCTCAGAAAACCCAATGCGGCCCCAATGTACCTGCAAGACGGCCCGATACCACAAGATGCACGCGAGACTGCCGTTACGGCCTGCGGGCGGCACCAATGCGCCGCGGTAAGACAGAGCCACGCGCGCCCGCAACGGCGGAGCACAATACCTGCACGACGACCTCGTCCTCGCGCGGGAGCCGCACCAAGATGGCCCAACGTTGCCTCAACGGCTGCCCCGAGACGCCTCAACGCCGCACCGAGTTGACCGAGAGCGCCTAGATGACCTAGAGATCCATCCAAGACGGCCCCATGCATATGCCAAGCGGCCCCGAACGGCTTCCAGGCGCCTCAGAGATGCCCCCACCCCACGGTTGGCCAAGGTGGCGTTACCAGAGAGCCCTAAACGCCTCAGGGTTTCCAAGATGGGCCCGAGGACGGAGAGGGTGAGGTTTCCCCTCCACGCGTGTTGCACGTCGCAACACTGCAATCAATCCCCGTGGCGGCATGTCTCGCTCGTGCCGCTCGCCACCTCTCACGTGACCACGACCGAGCGGAGGCCCTTGCGGAAAACGTCCGTCAGGATGGCGCCCAAGACGCCAGCAGGCACCACGTTGTGCGCGGTCATGGTCTTCTGCACGGCCACCAAGCTCGCGCGGATCTTCGTCGTCTCGTTGGGGTTCACGCCGTGCCACGCCTTGGCGACCCTCCCCTTGAACAGCAACTCCAAGGCCGCCTTCGCCGTCTTCGTGCAATCCTCCACCTCGCCCGCCACAGTGATGGCCGTGCCGTACTCCTTCCCCTTGTTCTCGAGCTCGTTGCAAGCCTCGCAGAGGGAGGGGTGCGAGGGCATGAGGGCGAGGGAGGGGCCAGTGGGAGGATGGAGGAGGAGAAGGAGGAGGGGCGGAGGAGGGCAAGGAGGGAGGTATAAAACGGAGTCGCATGGGGCGGATGGGAAAGGAAAAATGTCGAATCTGGGCAAAGGGGGAATATCGATCATAGTGAGGACGGTGAGGGCGAGGAGAGCGACGGGGTGAGAATTGGGGAGGGGGGCAGGAGGCACGAGGAGGGGGGAGAGGAGGTGGAATCGGAAGCGGCGAGAGGGAGGACGAGGAGAAGGTGTGGTGGGAAGCTGGGAAAAGGGAAACGGAGGATGGCGAAGTGAGGAGGTGGGGGGAGGAGTATCGGCCTTCACGAGGCCCTGGATCGCACTCTCCCAGTCGGCGAATTCGACGGACGCGATCGTCGTCGTGAACGCCGTCTTGACGGCCTTGAACTCCGTGGCGCCATCGACCTCGCTCTTGAACTGCACCACCTCCCCTGCCTCGGTGAACGCCTTGATCGACTTCTTGATGTTGCCCGCAGTCTCCGTCAGCATCTCCAAATGCTTCGCCGTCAACTTGTCGCGGATCTCAACGTGCTTGGTGTACCACTCCGTGGCCGCCTGGTGCAGCTCGAAGGGGCCATCAGAGTCCTCCGACGGCACAGGGATCTTCGTGAACTCCTTCAGCGCGCGGCCAAAGATAGTCATCCTCTTGGGGAAATCTGACTGGCTTATGACTGCGTCAAGAATGCCCTCGGTGTTCCCCATCCTCGTGACCGCGTCGAGCAAGTCAGAGACCCGCTCGGGGACCGTTGATGCGCTGGATGCCCACTGCGCGCTCGTGGCGTGCACGCGCTGCTTCGCCTCCTTCGCCAAGGCCGCCAAGTTCTTCGCATCTGCGAGTATGGAATCCAACGGCTTACGAATGATCGTCTCGATGATGCTCTTCGCGTCGTGCGTGATGGCGCCCTCGTCATCGCCATGCCCCCCCGCAGACTTGGGCAATTTTGGCATGGCGTTGCGGAGGTCGTCAGCGCTGCAGGACCCGCTCTTGAACAGCTCGATGGAGGTGCTTGCCTTCTTCTGCGATGCCTTTGCCGTCAAGGCGGCCTTCGCCTGCGCGACGAGGTCCCTCGCGCGCTGCACGCGATCTTCAAGGGGGGCGACCCTGGCGGGCACCTGCGCGAGCTCAATGTACTTCTCGACGAGCGCCGTCTCAAGCGAGACCTCCTCGGGGGTAGAGCCGCTCGTCGGCATGGACCCAGCGTGGGCAGTGAACTTCTGCATGATGAGATCGGCCAACCTGGCGATGTGCGCTTGGCCGATCTCCTTCTCGAAGTACTCGAGCTTCGTTGCAGCCTCTGCCAAAAGGTCGCAGGCATCCTGCGATGGCGCTTCCTGGATCGCCTCCACCGTCGCGGCGCACCTGGCCAGGTCTGGGAAGAAATGTTTGCAGATCTTCGCATTCTCTTTCAAGGTGTTCACCTTCTGCTGCCAGTAAAGGCTCGGGTTGGTAGCCCTCGCCACCACGCTCCAGATGTCCTGAGCGCCGGCCGTCTTCTGGGCCCTGACGAACAGGTCAATGTCGTCGAAGGTGTGCTGCCCCGTCGTCTCTGGGATCTCACTGAGACTCATCAAGTCGATCACGGCCAGGATGCGCTCGCAGTCGCTGAGGGCCTGCGCGCAAGCAGGGCCGATCTCGCACGTCTCGGCGTCCTCTTGCAGGCCTAAATACTTCGGCGCATTCCGAGCCACGTAGTAGATGGCTTCCTCTGCGTCGGATCCGTCCTGGAACCACTGAATGAGCGTGTTCACGAAGATGTCCTTCAAGAAGCAGCCCGCCTTCTCATGGTCGGCCATGGTGGATGCCCGAACCGTCGGGGCCGAAATGTCCAGGGTGACGTTGTCCCCGATGCGGTGCCACACCTGGGGGATGACGGCCGTCCGTATATGGTTTCCACGACGGTCAGAGATAACAGCCGCGTTGGCCGCGGTGGCTCCAGGACTCTAGGACGACCCGACAACCTCCCAAGTGGACCGCCCTCCAAAGGGGCCTCCAGGAGAGCCCCTGCATGCCCAAATACTTCTTGCCGTCGCTGCTTGGGCCCATCCTGGGGTTCCTGAACGGCGGCAAACACCAGGGAGACATCGGGCTGGGCCCCAAGAGGGTTCCAAGAGGAGCTCCGTGGACGCCAATAAGGCCCAAATCACACAGCGGCATCCTGCATCACCCTGTGTCTAGGCCCCTCGCGGGGCCCACTTGCATCTTATCGGAAATCCTCATAGGGTCGATTGCGGCACTTGGGGAAGTCCGAGGCAGCCCCCACATGGGAAGCGCCAAGAGGCCCACAAAGGCCCCAGGAGAAGCCCAAGAGGATTCCCAGGGGGAACAAACACATGATGTATATTGACATCATGTTCTACTATGTTGCGGGCCCTCTCGGGCCACTTGGGCGGCCCATCTCGGATGCCCTATGGGGCGCCACTGGGACACCTGGAGAGCTCATGCCGTGCCTCTCGTGAGGCGCCCTAGAGGGCCCCACGAAAGCTCGAATGAACGCTGCATAGCGCATAGCAGAGCGATTGGGATGGGTTGGGCATGGTAGGGCAGGTAAGTTATCCAGAGAACAATGAAGTATGCAAGTTGTGACGCTAACAAGTGCAGTAGCAGTAGTTGCACGACAAGTTACATAGTATACCAGCGCTCTCATATACAAAAGCGGTAGTAGCAGTGCCCAGGATTACGATTATCGGTAGTAGTCACCGTTCATGTGTTTCGCGTCGGTGCCATTCATCATGCAACATACTTGGGATCGGTGCTGGCGGACCGCTGCGATGACGGTTCGTGCTCGCGCCCTCACCGACCTCGGGAACGCCAGGGACGGCCTGCGAGACCCCCCAAGACGGTACTGGACGGCCCAATGCGCATACAAGATGGCCTCAGGACGGCACAAGAAAGCTACAATATAACCCAGAAGCCAACCAATGCGGCCCCAAGTGGGCCCGAATAAACGCCCGATGCGGCCAGGGGGACCACCCGCGCGACACAGCAGCGCACATACAATGCCAAGACAGCCCCTAGAGATTCCAGAGACGGCTCCGAGGACGCCAAACGGGCCGACGGTGCCCTATGCCTTAAGACTGCAGGCCAAGAAGAACACGCCCCAATATGCCCCACCCCCGAAAGCCTCGGGATCACCGCCACCCCCGCCCCGGGGCGGCCACCGTAACACGGCGGCGGCATCGCGCGGAAGCGCAGCTGAATAAACAAGCAACTCGAGGCAAGCTGAGGGAAGAGGGAGAGACCAGATGGATAGGGGAGTGTAGGAGGGCGCTGGGGGAAATAGAGAAACTGGTATGCCGAATGGGGTAGGGGCGGGAACGGCAGGGAAGTTTGTGGTGGAGGGAGCGCGGAGCTGAGGAGAAGGAAGGTACGCGAAGAGGTCACTGTGATAGCATGCGATGGGAATGGGGGCAGGGAACACGAGGCAATATTTCCATGTGCCGTGGTTTGTCAGCCCCGCACCTGGAGGATCCTGCAGACCTCCTGGAGGGCGCCGCGCTGGCCCTCCGCCTTCCGAATGCTCTGCCACATCTGCGCAGCGTCGTAGACGATGAGGTTGAACTGGGTGAAGGTCGGCCAACTCTGGATGGACGGCTTGACTAATTCCAAGAGCTCTGCCTTCCGCTCGCGCTTCAACTCAGCGAAATTCGGCCCCTGAAGCTGGTAGCAGTTCCTGGTGAGACTGATGTGCCGCGTAGCGCTGTCACGCTGGACGGGCGGGGATTCCTTCGACTTCTCGATGATGGGCAGCTGGTTGAGCTCCCTCTTGCACTCGGCCCCCAGAAGAACGTCTTCCAATGGCGACCTATCGATCCAATGCTTCGCAGTCCCCAGCGGGGCCGTGGAGAAGGACTGCGGCCTCTTGGGTGGGAGCGGTGCTTGCGGCATGCCAATCTCCACAGAAGGGCTCGACTCCATGTCATCGAAGTCTTCGCCAAGGTCGCCCCCAGGCTTGCCATCTTCGCCTTCGCCCTCGGGCGTGGCCGCGTCCGTGATGGCCAAGAGCGGCCTGGTCGCGAGCGTCGCCCTGCCGTCGCTGCCCGCGGCTTCAGCTGGGCCTGAGCTCGCTGCGCCACTGCCTTTGACAGGGGTCTCCTCGTTGGGCGCCTGCTTGCCCGCGATCTCGTCGAAGGTGCTCAAGTAGCGAGTCAGCACCCCCACGCCAGTGGCGCCAACCACCTTCTTGACGAAACCCCTGAAGGCCAGCTCGACGTGTTCCTTGAACTTCACGGCCATGTCCTTCTTGGCCCTCTTCTTCGTCACGCTGGCCGATACCTTCGAGTAGACCTTCAGCAGTGGCCGAGGGCGGCCAGGGATCGAAAACGCGTACCGCACTTCAACCTTCCCCGTCAACGGCGACCGCTTCCCGTAGAGTTTTCTTTGCCTTCGACTCGAACTCCGTCTTCGTGAGGAGCTGGAACGACTCCTCGATGAGATGCCCGACCTCCTCGCCAGACACCAGCTCCATTGGCAAGCCTATCTCTGGATCTTCGTCCACCTGCTCGGTGCCGTCGGCCTTGCCCAGGGCGCGCAGCAACCCCGACTGCTTTGCTGGCTCCGTGGTCGTCTCCTCGACGAAATCCCGAAAGTCGGTATCGGGCGCTTCCTGGCATTTAAAGTCGTGGCACGGCTGGCACATCCAGATGGCCTCGACTACCTCCTTGCCGCTGTCGTCCGCGGGGCTGACCACTGCGTATTGGACCTCCTGCTCCTGGGGCCGGAATGCCACCGCCACCGCCCCCGACCGACGACGCAAACGAAACGTTGTAAATACAATGTCTGGTTGCTTGTATGGAGAGCAGAGGGCCGCGGGGGATCGCACAAACACGTTTGTGGCTGCGGGGAGAAAGCGCATGGGATGCGCGCGGGCGGGAGACGGTGTCGGGGCGTGAGGAGCCAGTTAAGACTCCCTGGTTGAGAGGGCGAGGGGGCTGCCCCAAGGAAAACTGCAATCCCACCAGCCCTTTAGGGCGTGAGTGGTCTAGCGAGCTTGTTCTGCTAAACCCCTTTCTTCCTTCGCGGAGGGGGGCCCCCCATCCCCCTACCCCCATCACCCTGGACCTGGGGGGAGGGTTCCGCGAGCGGCCAGGGTGTCCAAGATGGCCCAAGATGGCTCCAAGAGGGTCTCAAAGAGCCCAAGATGGCCTCCGAGATCTTGTAAGATAGCCCCAGATGGTTCAAGATAGCATTCAACATGCATCCAAGAGCTCTCAATACCGCCCCAGGACGGCCCCAAGTGCCTTTCGAGCCCTCCAAGGAACCCCTCAAGAGGCCAAAATCATTCAAATTCCGTGTGTTTTCAGTGTTTTGTTGTATTGTCGCTTTTTCGCGTCCGATGGGCTCTTGAGGCTTCAAGATGGCTCCAAGATGGCCCAAGAGGGCCCCAAGAGGGGCCCAGGAGGGCCCCAAGACCGCCCCAAGAGCGCCCAAGACCGCCCCAAGATCGGCCCAAGAGGGCCCCAAGAGGTTCATTTTCGGGCCCCGACGGGGGTACTGACTTAGGGAACCCCCTCCTTCTTTGATCGATGGTCCCAAGAGGGCCTTCAACGCGTCGAATATGGCATCCAGAGGGCCCCGAGAGCGCCCAAAGAGGGCTCCAGGAAACCACCAGGAGGGCCCAAGAGGCTTCCAATATGGCCCCAGGAGGGCTTCCAAGGCCTCCAAGAGGGCCCCAAGAGCGCCCCAATAGCCCAAGAAGAGAGCCCCAAGAGAGCAGCAAGAAGCCTGTAGAAGCCGCCAAGGTGATCCCAAGAGGGCCCCGCGATGGCTCCAAGAAGCCTCCAAGACGCGACGCCTTCAGAGCAAAGGATCTGCAATGACCTTGGTGCTTGACTATTGTCGTCGTCGTCGTTGGTGTCGTCGTCGCCGTCGTATGTTTCGTCCTCGTCGTCGTGCGCCTATCCCTCACCATCTATATCATAATCATTTTACTTATTCTCCCCCTCCTGCTCGTGCTCCGCTTCCCCCTCCTCATCGTCATCCTCTTCCTCTTCGTCCTCCCCGCCTGCTCCTCCCATCCATCCCCATCCGTTTTCTGCATGCTCCCTCTCTCTTCTCTTCGCTCCGACTGCTCCTCAACGGCGGATGTGGATCACTGCTGGGACAGATGCTGTTACACATCCCTGATCGGGTCAATTCGCCCGGCGACTGTTTTTGAATGGGCTGGTGGGGATACGCGAAGCGAGAACAATTTACAACAACTGTCCTTGTTGGTGAGGTTGCAAGTAGCGCACCGACGCGTCGTAGCCCTCGACCTCTGATCCCGAGCAGGCTCCCACTCGATAACGGACCCTGGCTCCTGGATGGGCGCCTTGCCCTTGACCTTCTTGCTGCCCGTGCCACCGCCCCCCTTCGAGACGGCCCTCTTGCGAACGGTACTCCCGGCGGCGGCCATCGCGAACGCCGCCGAACCCTTCTCCCCAGACGTGATGGCTGGCCCAATGCACTGTCCCCCGACGCCTAACGGGAGTAAGAGTATAAGTAGGGGAGGGTACGAGTACGATTAGCAGTAGGACTAAGAGTCGGAGTAGGAGGAAGAGTAGCAATAGTGGTGGGAGTAGGAGAAGGAGTAGGAGTAAGAGTAGGGGTAAGAGCGCCAGTAATAAGAGAGGACGAAGAGAAGACGGGGGCTGAGTAGAGGAGGAGCGGCATGGGCATGGAGGACGGGGAGGGTTTGAAAAAGAATTGGGCCAGGGATAACAGCAGTGGGCCAACCAACTGAGCGCACCCTCATGGGCGCAGGTCGACAGAAATGCCTCGAGCCTGACCCCTGACGGCTACGGAAGCCCAGGAGGATCGCACCAGCTCTCTGGGCGGAGCTGGCCCAGGCCGTTCCTCTTCCAACACCCCTTTTAACATTCATGGATGGACTAGTCAGTAGCCGCCCGATTTAATGCCACTGGGGACCCCGAGAACCCTCCACCCGCTCCAATTGCACGGCCACCCCTGACACATAATGATCAAACTACATTCGGGCACTGTGCTGCCCAGCGCCAATCGAAATGCGAGTCATAGATCGGCATAGCATCGGCATGTCGCAGAGCATTTGCATAGCATCGCGAAGACCCTGGCATGAAATCGTGCCCAGTCTCGGCCCGCGCACCTCCGAGCCCACCCCGCACTCCTTATCGCTGAAGGGTTTTCCGAGCACCCCCGAGCACGTGCAAACAGGACAACGCCGAATGCGTTCCTGGCCGTGGGGGCGCTCCAAGAACCAGTCAAACGGCAAACGGGTTGGGCGCAACAGCGAACTACTGCATGCTGCCGCGCACTGGAAGCAGGTCCTGGATGTTGCGCAAGATATCGCTGCACATGCCGAGGGCCCCTGCAAAGCGCACCAAGCTGAATTCAATCGTTGAACCTGCAACTGCAACGGCACCGCGCCATCGCTAGTGGATATAGAGATTACCATTGCTGCAAGCACTCCGCGCCAATGATGGTGACCAGGTGCACTGTGCGCTGGGGCACTGATGGTCCGAATCGCCGATGCCGATGCTCAGTCCGAGTCGCTCCCCTGTTTCTGTTCCTCCACCCCCCAAGTCTCCTCAATCTTGTACTCCACGACGAACCTCTGACTGAAGGGGCCTCTGTTGACGCCAGCAGGGTCGGGCTCGAAGGGGGTCCCCATCCGCCTGAAGACATTGCGGATGGCCTCTGGCATCGTGCCCTCATCGGACCAAATATGCGTGACGATCTTCCTGCGCTTCTCGTACGGCACATTGTTGGTGACGGGGTGAGGGCGGCGCGGTACTGGATCGGCGTCCACCAGCGCATCGTTGCCAGGGGTGGCCAAGTCCTGCGGCTCCTGCGGCGCCCTCGGGGTGACCACCCCGTTGAAGTCCTGCTGGGACAGCGCCAACTCTACTGCTGGGCCAGGCGGCCTGCTGTCCTCCAATTGCTCAGGCGGCGGATACTGTGGTGACCGCTGCCCAGGGGGCAGCTCTGGCTGAGTCCCATCGCTGACAAGGATGACCACTGGCTGCGGCTCGCCGTTCGGCAGCTGAGGTGTCTCGGCGCTCCTCTCCTCGGACGCGGAGCTCGGCCTTGCTGGGCCGAAACCGCTGTTCCCCGCCCAAAGGGAGTCTTGAGTCGCCATGGCGGCGCCCAAGTAGAAACAATTCAACTCAACAGGTTACGGTTGTGGCAAGCGGAAAGTGCCACTGATGATAATGAAGCCTGCACCACAATGGCAAATCACGGATAGGGCGCACGGGGGGGCAAGCATCATTGGAAACGGGTGACGGGGATAAGGGGGACGGGCAGAACGTAGCGGAGAGCGATGATACAGGGGGGAAGACGACGAGGTCGAATGCGCCGAGACACGAGCACGATGAGAGCAATGGGGGAGACGACGAGGACAAGCAGGGAGGGGGGAAGGCGATGAGGACGAGTAGGGGAAGACGATGAGGACGAGGAGGGCGATATAGAGTGGGAAGAAGATGAGGACGACGGGGAAGACGATGAGGACGATGAGGACGAGTGCTTTCCAAAACCCCAGGCATGAACTTTACGGCTTTGGGGGCGGGGGGTCGTGCGTGCTACGTAGCCTCTGAGGCTCTGAAGCTATGGTTTTAAAACCAATGCAACGTATTGTACGCGTGCATAGAATCACGCGTGTATTTACTTTCACACACACAACCATACACCCATACCGCATGACCACAGCGCACTCCATACTGCGCGTGGCACACGCTGTATGGAGCAGCTGCGGTTTTACTGTAAACAGAACCACACTTACACATACACATACGTTTATTACTCTACAATGCTGCTTACACAAATACAAGCCGGGGCCCCGTCGGCGTGCTCGGCGTCGCCTTGGATCTCGCGGCGGCGGTGCGCGTCGTCGCCAACGTCGCCGTCGTCTACTCCCCCCCTGGGGTTCCTCGTCGTCGTCGTCGCCGTCGTCGTCCATCTCGTCGCCGCCGTCGCCGTCCATCTGGTCGTTGTCGTCGTCGCCTTCGTCGTCGTCATCCCCCTCCTCCCCCCTCCGTATTCCCTCGCCGTCGTCGTCCACCGAGACTAGAACGGCCCTATCAAAATAGCGCCATAAGTTGCGCACGTGGCCGCAGAGAACAAAACGACACTCCATTGGTTGCGCCGCAAGTTGCGCCCTCGGACGCCCGGAATACAGTCTCCCGCTTGGTTGCGCCCTCGGCCGCCGAGATTTGAATTCTCTTTCTGAATGCGCCAACAGTCACGCCCTCTGCCGCCGCAAATAGAACTGCGCCCCATTGGTTGCGCTGAAAATACTTTTGCGCACCCAGCTCAGGAATCAAAAACTGCCACCAATTGAACGCGGCAATGGCTGCACCCTCGGCGCGCCATTGGTAACCCCCACATTAATTGCGCCATAGGTTGCGCCCTCTGCCGCCGAAACAAAACTGCACACTATTGTTGGCGGCGTAGATTGCGCCCGCGTCCGCCGAGTGTGAAAATGCATTGTGATGGTGGCGAGATCGGCTGCCGTGAGTAACGCTGCCCCATGGATTGCGCCCAGGTTGCGCCCTCTGCCGCCGAAAATAACACTGCATCCTTTTTGGTTGCGCTACACGTTGCGCCCCTTGCCGCCGAGCATAAAGCAGCGGCAAAGTTTGCAGAACCGCGCAGAATGGCAGAATGTCGCAGCATGCAGCAGAAAGGCAGAATAGTACGCTGAATGGGGAGAATAACGCAGAATGGCAGAATGGCGCAGAAGGGGAGAATGGCGCA